AGTACAGAAATTCCGATTTTCGTAGGCAGTGAGTACATCTATTGAACGATCAGCATTTGATTGACTGTGAACAGCCTCTACAGGAATCGCTGGTCGCACGCGTTCAAAGTTGTCGTCTGCACACAGTCTGCGTAAGACGCCTGACCTACAGATAATTTTAATCGTAAGTAATCAGGAATTCTACACAAACTTGTGGTTTTCGTGTGCGTGAAGTGGACTCCAAAGAACGATTCCCGCACCCTCTGACGGGCAAGTAATTTATACCTGCCAAATCGATAATGCGGGTGGTTCTTGTCCCAAGCTGTGCAATAAAAGGAGGCATTCTGATGGCACTGAAATCTCCCTTATGTCAGTGGAAGTAATAGCTCAATTTTCATGCAGTAATGGTCATTACGGGGCACCAACTGAGGCCTCGCGAAAACTCATTACCTGCGCAAATATGGCAATAGTTTACGCGGTTTTGTTAAAATTTTCAACTGAAATGACAACTTCTTAGTTTCCTGATACCTTCATTTTGCGCAAATGTGTAGAGGAGACTATAGGCGCTAATTTCGCAAGTAAATCGACTAATTTGAGACTTGTTGTAAATACCAGGTGCCCCTAGTGACTCTTCAAAACGGGTTATCTCGTCAAAGCGGTTTCCATATTATACAGGAGCATTTTTCCCAGTGTTTGGTTGACCTGTCACAACTTCCAGACATGGTTCCTTAGACCAAGTCTTTCCACAGTCGCTGTGTACTTTGCAAGTAATCACAGTCGTCGCCTCAATTCACATAATGCTTATTTTATAGCTCATTTTGGATCTAAAGGAGGTCAGGTTTTTTAACGAATTACCTACCAGTAATTACTGCGATGTCCTGAGAAACCAGCGCATTCTTTAACCTTCAGGCCTGTGAAAAAGAGGCTCTGTGACGCATGATCTTGGCAAAATGTTTAGATTTGCTAATGCCATTTGTATCTGCGGAAAATTATCAAGCATGCATCCACATTGCATGAGAGATGAACACCCAGTTAAACAAGCGAATTGAATCTACACACAGAAGGAAACGAGAGAGAAACGGCGAAAATTACAGCATCTCCTCAGGCTACTGGCAATTGCAGCTAAAAGCACGTTTGTTGGGTCTGAAAAAGTTCAGTTTTTTTCCAAAAGACATAAAAAAGACTTGAGAACTGGAGGTACCTGAGCTTCAAGGCATGTGTCTACTGCCTTGGGCAGGCATTAACGACTCTT